TTTATTTATTATAGTCATACCTCTATGGTTAGTTTTTTTTTTAAAGCAACGTACTTTTCTTAAAGCATTCTATTTTCACCTTTTTTGTTATTAGTTTTTTTTTAGAGTAAATTACACGAATAGTCCTTTATCTTTACAGTTTTTCCCTAAAGTGGTCCTTACGAAACGTTTTTCCTTGAGATTGTCCCTAAGGAGCAAACGTTGCACACAAAAGGCTCCTGTGACTAACTTTGTTAATAGATTCTGTTAAATTTTGTTAAATGACAAATACACCCTTTTTATGCACACAGTTGGTCCTTCTCTCTCTCTCTCTGTCCCTCTCTCTCTCTGGTGTGTGTGCGCATCATCGAAGCCACACTACTTTACCGGAATATATCTCTTTCTCCATACTTCCGTGTTCTCCATCAGTTATAACAGTAACCAAATCCTCGCCGGAGCAAAATAGTTTACTGCCACCATTTCCGTGTTGACCCATCGAAGACCGCCATATGAATGGGTAAAAATGATACTTATTCTCGAATTGCACATATGGGTAAAAAGAAAATGGTGAACCCAGAAGCTTTGATGTATGGCGTCAGATCTGGAAATGAAGTTGATATTTGATTTAGGATTTTTATCGACTCCACACCTCTTTATTCTAAAGAAGAAGGAGATGGAGATAAGGGTTAGGGTTTTTAATGGAGATTGAAATGAAGACCGAAATATGACTACTGTTCTTGAACTACCAAATGAAACATTGTTCATTTCTTCTCTTCAGAATTTTATCATAAGCTTGGTGGGCATAAACTTGACATCTTCACCGATCCGAACCACTACTAAGTTGACGAAATCTGTTGGTAAATTAGAATCAGCGTCTTGTTTCAGGAAATCGATAATCAACTTTATTCACCATGGAAAACAGCAAGAACATCAAAACCAAGAACATGAAAAAGATGAAGACAGCCAACGCAGAAACCCATTGCAATTAATCTATCTTCTTAAAACCATTAAACCTCCCAAATCTTGATCAAGGACTTTACAAATTCGAAGAATATTCTGGTGAAAATTTAAGTTAAGTGTCTCTTTTAAGCGGAAGAACCGGGTTAAGTGAATCCATTTATAAAACCCCAAATCGAAAATCCTACAAAACTCAGTAAGAATATAAAGAAAGAAGAATGATCGGGTTTTATTTTGATATAGGTTTGATGTTGGTTTTGGTTTTAATTTCTTAAATTTTGGTTTAGATTTTAATTTCATAAATTTTGGTTTTGGTCTGTAAGTATTGTGAATCAGATGCAAACATGAGAGAGAGAGAGAGAGAGCCATAAGGACCATATGTGTGCATAAAACAAAGGGTATTTTTGTCATTTAACAAAAGTTAACATAATTTGTTAATAAAATTAGTCACAGGGGCCTTTTGTGTGCAAAGTTTGCTCCTTAGGGACCATCTCAGGGAAAAAAGTTTCGTAATGATCATTTCAGAGAAAAACTATAAAGCTAAAGGACCATTCGTGTAATTTACTTTTTTTTATCTTCCGCTTTCTTCATCTTTTTATTGTTTTTTTTCAATTATAGCATTGTACTTTTTTCATATTCATGTTACCTAAGCACTTATCAATGTAACACTTTTTTCATTTCATATTCAATGACAACGTTGTATTTTTCTTGAAGTGTGATGTTATAATTAAGCACTTATCAATGTAGTAGTTTTTTCATTTCATATTCGATTATAGCATTGTAGTTTTCTTAAAGTATGATGGTATAATTAAGTATTTATCAATGTAACACTTTTTTCATTTCATATTCAATTATAGCATTGTACTTTTCTTAAAGTATGATGTTATAATCAAGCACTTATCAATGTAGCACTTTTTTCATTTCATATTAAATTATAACATTGTACTTTGCTTAAGCACTTAATTTAAATTCCAGTTTGAGCAATTAAGCACTTCATTCAATCACAAAATCAAACAAATTAAATACTTCATTTTAGCATTTCGGTTTAAGTAATTAAGCACTTAATTGTAGACATACAATACCACTTTCATACAACTATACAATACATTTAAACACAAAATAAAACAAATTATACCGAAAATTAGTGAACCTTAATCAGAAAACATGAGCAAAATCAGACTTAGATGAGCAAAATCAGTTCCATCCAACCAAAATCAGTTTCATACAACACACATGAAGCACTCCATTTTAGCATTCCGATTTAAGCAATTAAGCACTTAATTGTAGACATACAACACCACTTCCATACAATCATACAATACATCTAAACACAAAATCAAACAAATTATATATAAAATTAATTAGTGAACCTTAATCAGAAAACATGAGCAGAATCAGACTTAGATGAGAAAAATCAGTTCCATACAACCAAAATCAGTTTCATACAACCCAATTAGAAAACAGAAAAAAAAACGTGACTGAAATTGACTTACCTCCGGTGTAGGGTGTCACACTCGACGGTGGCTGGCAACGATGGTGATGGTAGGTCTGGTGGTGATGGTTGGCCCCTTAAAAACCCCAAATTTTTCTTCAAAATTCAACCCAAAATCCTCAAAAATGTTCCTAAAACATTAGAAATCATCAAAAAGGCGGAAGAATGAAGAAATTATCGATTTATAAGCGGTCGTATTCGTTACAGACGTGATTTCGTCGAGAGGGAGGGAGTATGCTCTTAAGTGGTGACAGTGAATGAGTTCGATTAGGGTAACCCAAGAAGATGAAACCCAATATCGACGACATTTCGGCGGTATAGATTAAATAACCAAGACGTCGTTTTGTTTTTTCCAGCTTTTTTTAAAAAAATAAAAATAATAAATCTATTCCGACTACAGGTCGTTGGCAAAAATTTCATACATATCGACCTACCTGACCTACCTCTATACCGACAACATGTCATCGGTATAGAGGTTAACAAAACGACATCGTTTCTCTTTTATCTACAACATTACAATTAAAAAATTGAAATTATTTTTCTTTTTTCTATACCGACCATTTGTCATCGGAATAGATTTTAAGAAAAGCAGGATCTTTTTTTTTTATTTTTGCGCCCTACCTACCCCGATGACATGCCGTTGGTTAAGAAATTGGTCAACTATGCCGACAATACGTCGTCGGTATAGATTGGCTTTTACCGACGACCTGTCGTCTGCACGATTGTTGTAGTGCAAAATCACGAATCCTTCGATATATCCTTGAGACAGATAATAAAAATCAATACCATAATAATAAAACGGGTTACATCGTAACCTGAAAGATGGAAAACATCATTTATTAATACCACGACTCATTAATAACCACTACTGACTACACACTCGTATCTCCCGAAAACTATAGGCAACATACGATCCAAAAACAAGTGCAAACAGGGACAGTTCTATTTGGGTGTCCGCAGTGGCACCGGCAACCCCTGCTTTTTCTATATGTAGTGTAAATTTTTTGATATTTTTTGATTTTTTTTTCTTTTTTCTACTTACCGGCAACACCTACTACGGACCGGCAACACCTACTACTAAATCATGCGTCTGTCCCTGAGTGCAAAACCTCATGATTACAAAAATAGAAGTCAATAAAAAATATACAAAAGCTTGCAAAACTAGTCTACGACTATGATGGACACACCATACACAATGGAAAAGGGAGCACAAGCAAAGGCTAACAGCTCATGACGCATCTCATCATCTGCGTAACCAGCAGTCGAAAAGATCTTATCAAGATTGTTTATCTTAGTCTGTGATAGATGTGTCTCATGCTTAAAAGTTCAGGCGGAGGTTGGTGCCATCGTCAGCCTCATGTTGTTTCAGAACCTGCAGTTTCATGGTGGCTGGGGACTGTGGAGGAAGACGAAATCCATGAGGAAGTGGAAGGTTGATCATCTGAAGATCATGGTGGCATGACACGCGGCATATTGAGCAGGTATTCTTTTTTGAGAGGCAATGGATGATGCACTTCTCATGGAAGATGTGATGGCAACCGTAAATTCCAAAAACCGATTGTTGGGATTCAAAGTAGTCGATGCAGGTGGCCTCGCCGAGGGCTTGGGCGGAGGAGTCGACATAGCGGCATGACAATAGGTGATTAAGCGGCATGTAGGCGGGGCCATGGGAGTTTTTTTTTTTTTTTTTTTTTTTTTTTTTTTTTTTTTTTTTTTTGGAGTATGCGAGTAAAGTGGCAAAGTAAATGTATATATCACGTGTAAAATCCACAAAGCAAGTCATCTTTACTACTTCCCCTCAAAAATAAGAAGATAGCCATGTCATTTTTTATTTTAATATTTTTATAAGAGGAAACTTCCACCTACTCCCTCACACGGGTTTGACACGGATTACAAATTTACAATCTATTTAATCCAATGGTTAGACACATGATAGAAACTATCATCTTCTCTGTTAATTTATAACCTGCTCTTTCATCATAATCCCCTCAAAAAACTCAACATCCCCATCAGATAAAGATGCGTAGAATTTTCTTCCAGTTTTCACTTTTAATTCTATTTTCCTTAGAGTTAACCAAGAAAATTGCCCCACCTTGAGATCACATGTTCTTATTTTTGCTGTGAAGATTTGTGTGTGTTGATCCTGTGAAGAGCATATTCCTAACACTAGGTATCAAAGTTTTGAAAACCGGACCAATGTTAATAACCGGAAAAACCAGATGACAGTTTTACCAGTTCAACAGGGCCGGTTTTTACAGCTTCGACCGGTTTTTACCGGTTCACATGAATACCGTTTTTTTGGCCTTTAAGAACAAGATCCGATCTGACCAGTTCCCGGTTCAACAGGTCGAACCGGTCGGTCCGATCCGGTTTTCAAAACATGGCTTGGTATCGAGCAACCAGAAATGGATTCTGTACAGTTGCAACCAGAAATGGATTCTCGACAGTTGCAACAGGAATGGTTCTCGGCAGAAAAGGTGGATCCCATCAAAGATGGAGTTGCTTCGATTGTGTTTCGAAGCTAGAGAGAATGTTTAGCCGGTAACGGTTGTGGTGTGTTCCGGTGAAGAGGATGATGGACCGTCGAAAGTGGGTTGAGCATAGGAGGTCGTCGGGTGTTGGTAGTCGCTGCCGGAATTTTTCAGAAGATGATGAACATGTCGTTGGTTATAGTAGTTGTTGTACGTCGACAGGTTTTGCAGGTGAAACAGCCGTTGGGTCGACAGTAAACAGAGGTTGTGAAGGTGCTGGTGTTCATTGGTGGTTAATGGGGGAGGAGGTGGTTCCGTTGGTGGCAAAGAGTTGGTGGGTTTCTTTGCCTGCTACCTTTCGTTTTTGGTGGTGTCCGACCGTGGTGCTTCCTGTGGTAGTGAGTATGGTAACTGCGTTTACCATCTTTCTTGTTGGGGTTATAAGCTTGAAGCATTTCAACAACAGCCCCTCTACTGATAGCGGGAGACTAACCAGAAATGCGTGATAAACGGACATGGAGACATCAAAGCAGGTGGCAATGATTTGGTACGTTTTTGTGGGCGACGAAAGACGGTAAAGGTGGTTGTGATCTTGTTTTCTTTTCTTGGTCGGTGGAAGAATCTTTTGGACACGTTGTGAACATTATGTCGGTGGAAGTTCAAATCGAGATGGATTTGGATGTGGTCGAGGAAAAGGCCATGGATCCGGGAAAAGTCGAGATTGTAATGAACGTGTCCAACGGGATGTCATGCTACATGTTACAGGTGTTGTGAACAATTAAAAAGGGTTGTGAGAAGATGCTGGATGTGTCCGGGGTTGAGGTTGGGTGTTCGGGAAAGGTCGAAAATCAAGATGGTTCAAAAGAAGGTGATTATACACACCTGTGAGTAAAGGGTGTGAGTAAAGGGTGTGAATAAACGATTAATGGAGTAATTGTAGGGTTAATCGTTTATTAACGGAGTGGTTACAGGTCAGCGGGAAAATAGTTTGAATGGGTCATTTGGGTATAGTGTTTTCTTTATGTAGAATATAAAATGAAATAGAAAAACTTTAAGAGTATCAGAAGTAAGTCCGACCTGGTTTTGTGTAGACTGAGTCCGGTGGAATATGAGAGATATATGGCTTAAGTTTTGCAAGGATTATGTGGGAAAACTGTAAGCTAGTTCTTAGTATTTTCTTAGTATAATAGGGTGTTCAATTTAATTTTAGATGTGTAGAATTTTCTTCCAATTTTCACTTGTAATTATATTTTCCATTGAAAGAGTTAACCAAGAAAACTACCCCTATAAAGAGCATATTCCAACATGGATACGTATATGGTAGTTTGAGAGGGTTATAAACTCGATTCAAGTCCTTTATATTTCCTTGTTTGTTATGAGAAACAAATCAAGAGAATAGAGAGCATGAGAAGATCAAAATGGAGATTGATCCGAAGGTTTCAAGACTAGTGGAAAATGATGTGTATTTTTAATGCATTAGTTTTAAATTTATAATTCCTAATCTATCGCATCTAAAACAACATTTACAGGCAATGAACCTAATTGAGTATAATATAGTTTTTGATAAGCAATGGTGTCAAACTCAATGATAAATGTAATGAATTGATATTAGAATTTTTAAATATACGTTATATCAAATAAAAGAAAGCAATAAAAAGGGGTTTTGATTTATAAAACTCAACTAATTCAATAGCTAAACTAAATAGAATAACTTATTTGAAATTAATCACTTCAGGTACTTTAGTTTAGATTGGATTACATCTTAAAATCATGGGTGAATTCTTTACTACTGTATGGATTTATTAGTTGGTTACGAATTCTAATGTAACCAATTGTCTTTATCGGGTTTTCTAATACTAATAGTTAATGAACAACTAACACAATGATCATCTAATTAGTGAACACATAATTAATTAGATGTATATTCAAAATATGAAAGATATGATCTAGCGATTTATCATCAATGGTCATGATAATCAGTCAAAGTATAGAATTGGTATCTAAACTCTCTTACACATTCAAAATCACACGAAATACGTATTTCTGTATATATTTTATAAATTCACACCAAAGACATTTTTAAATACATGTTAAATATATATTTACATTTTTAATGTTTATATATATATATATATATATATATATATATATATATATATATATATATATATATATATTGAAAATGTCTTTATATGTATTTATATATTAAAAAAACATATTTCACATTTATATGTTTTAAACAAAAAAAAATGAAAATATGTTTTTGTTTGTTAAACTTAAACCACTTGGTCGAATATAAAAAATTGGTTTAAGAAAAGAAAAACTTCATTACTTTGGTTAAGAAACGTAGCAAGAAAAAAAAACTCTTTAATACAAAATAAATAATAATAATAATAATAATAATAATAATAATAATAATAATAATGTTAAAAAAATGCCTCCGTTACATTATAATATAGATATGTTAATGCGGAAATAAATACATTGAAATTTCCTTGGCTTGGTGGTAAGGTGCTTGTTTTATGAAGTCTATGTCGTGGGGTCAAACCTTTGCCCTTAACTTTTTTCGCTGTCCACACACCAAGCTGAAGTGGCATAATGGAAGTCCAAAATTTATAAAATTTATGTAAATTTGAGGTATTAACGAATCTAAAAAGGTTATTTCCATAAAATACCTTATATTCTGACTTTTTTCTTTTTAGACCTAATTTTTTTTTCTTTTCCGAAAAAGACCCAACTTTTATGTTTTTACTTGTTATTTCAGACCCTAGCAGGTCACCAATAGGTAAATTAGGTATTTTTGTTTCATAAAAGACCCTATATTTTGTAGTTGTTTCCATTTTAGATCTAAAATGTTTTTTTTTAAATAAACTCAACTTTAAAATTGGTTATAATCTTCAAGACCAAGGGGGTGTTTGACTTATCTTTTTGAGAGACAAAAGTCATTTTTGGAAAAGTTACAAAAAGTCAGGTTTTCCTGACTTTTCCAAAAAGTCAGTTTTTCTTATATCAAAAATCCAAAAGTAGCTTTTAAAATCGTTTTACCAAACATCTTTTACATTTTATCTTTTCCAAAAAGGACTTTTGTCTCTCAAAAATATAAACCAAACACCCCCCCCCCCCCCCCCAAATATATAAGGTACTTCTTGACTACACCGAAAAAGAAAGTATACATGTATATACTAAAAAATGTTATTATCTTTTGAGCTATAACCTAAAAGAATTGCAAAATTTTATTTTTGTCTAAAAGATATAATTAAACTTTATCTTGAATATATATTATATCATTAAATTTGATATATTGTTTATAGAAAATGTTATTATTACCGCTAATAAAAAGTTTGATGTTAATTTGATATTTTTTGGTAACATGGATAATAAATGGCTAAGAAGAATCTTTTAGCATAATAATAATTTTTTTTATTTGTAGAAAAAAAATACCATATAATTTAACAAACTGTATAAAAAATACTTTTTTAGTTTGTCTATTATACTTATTTGGTGAGTTTTGACATATTTCCCTCTCTCACTTTTATATATTATTATTTTTTTGCTGAATTTTTTAATCAATTTTTTTAGAACAGTTAATAAACACACTCACTATCATACTCCTAAACCAAAGTCATAGAATATTTTGTAGCATTAGCCCATTATTAAATAATATGTTATAATTATATCAAATAAATACATAAAAATATTAATCCTAAACATTCGTATTAGTTTTGTTTAGATATATGAGATTCAAGTTTAAGACTTTCTTAAAAAATGTTAACATCACATATGAATAAATAAAACTATATTTTGGGAATGAAACCATTTGAGCATAAGTTGAAATCCAAATAATAAGAATGATACCGCACACTTAAATACCAAAATACGATGGTTGACATTATTAATAATGGTTGGAATGTGGTGAATGAGCAAAACTGACAAAACTATGAAATTTTGTTGTAGAGAAAAGAAAGTTGAATAGTTAGCCTACTACCTCATTTTATTAATCTATCTTATGTATACATGGTGTTTAGATCAATACATGGTGTTTGTACATCACTGTTATTGATTCTTAAGGATAATCATAATAATTACCAAAAAAAAAAAATTTAGGATTTCATTTTAATTTGAAAGGATATAATCACGTTTTTATGCATGAACGAAGTTCAGCTTCATTAAATCGGTGTAGTTAAGTACCTTATACAACTAGTGTTAAATGTTTTAAACAATTTTAAAGTTGAGTTTATTTTAAAATAAAATAAAAAAAAAACATTTTAGGTCTAAATTGGAAAAAAGTATAAAATATAGAGTTTTTTTATGAAATGAAAATACTTAATTTCCCTTTTGGTAACCTGCCAGGGTCTAAAATAACAAGTAATAGGTAAAAGTTGGGTCTTTTTCGGAAAAGAAAAAAGTTTTAGGTCTAAAAAGAAAAAAAATCAAAATATAGGGTTTTTTATGGAAATATCCCTATCTAAAATTCAATTTTGGGTAAAAGAGACAATTTAACCTCTTTTATGACATAAACTCTATATTATAAAAAAAAAAAAAAAAAAAAAAAAAAAAAACAACCTAGCAATTAATGCTAGACGTAGGGACGACATTTTAAAGGGAATCGGTCGCCACTATGTATCTATGTGGAAAAAATTAAATAAATAATATATATACAGAGTAATTCCATGTGGCTATTTGGTGGTAACCAAGCAAAAGAAAAAATTGGTCCGACAATTTAAGATCACAATCTAAACTCTCTTTACTCCCCACGTATCACCTAGAAAAAAGAGCTATGTGTTTTATTTTTATTTTTTCATATTAATATTAATAATTATTTATTAAATAATATATGTACGTTAAAATATTATAAAAATTATATTAAAATATATGATTTTTAATTACCTACAAATAAAATATAATATTAATATATTTTTTTTTATGTATATTTTAGTTGTTTTAGGTTGTTGATAAACAGTAAAAAGGTTAAGAATGATGGATAGAAAACATATTATTTTAATACAAGATTGGGTTGTGATAGAGTTGCTGATAAACATAGTCCAAGTGTGATTAGTAGAAACCTTTTTCTTTCTTTCCAAGTTTGATTTATATAATATTTCAAACCAAATGTAAACACGAGTTTCTCTTAGACCGACAATCACCTTGATCGTCGAGTATTCTGGAAGTTGAGCAGTAAGAACCCAGATGGTTCAAGCCTGTCACATTGCTTGCTCTTTTGGGACTGTGTTTTCCTTCCCTTAACTGTGGAATTAACCAGTCGATCTAGTGAGCATAACAAAGGTTTAATGAACCGATAACAAGCAGGCATGCATGATGGTTGACGGATAAATTTATCAGAAATAGCAGAAATAAATTAAAAGAAGGGATCGAGATCAAGTGATCAACTATAGTTATGTGTAGGATGCCCAAGAATCAAAACATACGACCAATGACACCGAAAATCAAGAATCTGATATCATAATAACAAAAACGGGTTACATCGTAAGAATCAAGAAACTCACCACCATGACTTATTAATTAACCAATACACGCATACTCATATTTCCACAAAACTACCGACATGCAACATACGATCCAAAGCGCAAAACTGATCATAATCACAAAAATGAAAGCTAAAACCAAATATACACATGACAAAAACTAAAAGATGGACACACCACGAACAATGGAAAACAGACCACAAGCACGAGCCAGCAGGTCATGATGCATCTCATCATTTGGCCAGACCACAGTCGAAAAGATCTTATCAAGATACTCGATCTCAGTTTGTGATAGATGCTTCTCATGCTTCAGCGATTCTGGTCGAACATAAAAGTTCAGGTGGAGGTTCGTCCCATCATCTGCCTCATGTTGTTCCGGAACCTGGAGTTTCATGGTGAGTGGAGGCTGAGGAGGAAGACGAAAGTCATGAGGAAGTGGAAGGTTGATCCTCTGAAGACATCGTGGCATGACACGGCGGCACAATGGGCAGGTGTTCTGTATTGAGAGCCACTCGATGATGCATTTCTCATGGAAGACGTGGTGGCAACCGTACAATCGGAAAACTGACTCTTGTGATTCAAAGTGGTTGAGACAGATGGGGCAGGTGGTATCGCCGTGGGCTTGCGCGGAGGAGGAGGAGTCGACGTATCCGGGATGGCAATATGTGATTAATCGGCATGTTGCAGGTGGAGCCATGGAAGTTTTTGTTGGAGTATGTGCGTATAGTAGCAAGAGTATACGATATGTAAAATCCACAAAAGCGCGCAATATACGACTTCCCCTCAAGATTAAGAAAAATATCCATGTCGTTTTTTATTTTGTAGTATTTTTTTGTACGTTATCAACGAGGGGTAGTGGTGGAAATTGTAGTTGGGGTGAATGGGACAACTCTCCCTTCTCCTTTTGTAAAATGTTCCTTTTTTGTCGTTTGGTTCCAATTTTGCCCTTGCGGCTCGCCTACCTACTTGGCTGCCTGTTTTCAAAAAAAAAAAAAAAAAAAACAAAAAATCCAATATACATTTTGGCGGAGGAATCCATGACGGTGGTGTTTTGACTGGGCTACCGCCATATTACGATGTTTTTATAATCCGTAATTAATTTTGTTAACAAGAGTAGCTTAGTACCCAAGCTTAATCTATTTGGGTTGGGAAAATGATTTGTAAGGATAATAGAATTGTAAAAAAAATCCTATTAACAATTTTTTACACGCACGTATGATCATTAAATTTCACTTTTGTTTAACAAATATCATTATGTGACCGGTAATAGTAGGTCACCCGTCACATGGCTACCGACGTGGATTTTACTGTTTATTATGTACACATTATACCATTAAACTTTTTTTTTACACATTATATCATTAAACTTTTTTTTTTCTTTTTACATATTTTACCATTAATTTTTTTTTGTACACATTTTACCATTAATCTTATATAACTTATTCAAAAAAATATCATTTCAAAAAGTATATTATTACATAAAAATAGGTTTTCCATCACCTATTGTTGTTATTCCCTAATTTTGTAAGGTTTAGAGGAAATGTTCGTTTTTGACAATGATACTAAACACTCTTTTTTGCAGCAGCATCGTACATTTATGTTGATCATACATCAATTAAAACCAACAAGGTTTGAACTTGAGACATCCTTATGGAGTGTCCAAGAAGTACTCAATTACTCATTATTTTAGCTAAAGTTTTAATAAACTTACCATTATAAGTCATTTTCCTATCAGTAAACATTGACATAATTTCAATGCACATTTCTAATTATCAACCATAATCAAGAAATAGGGGGGGGGGGGGGGGGATGGATTTGAAATCTAATATAATGGATGATAGAGTGTTTATATATTTATACATTTAAATGTATTAAACTTTGAATAAGTGAGTATTTATATATTTATACATTTAAATAAAATAGTATATACTACATAACCATCATATGGTTTTCAAATGTCAAAATATGTATTTATACATTGAAATATCTATTTATAAATAAAAAAAACACATATTTATTGTAAATATGTTTTATATGTATGTAAAAATACGTATTTATACATTGAAATATTTTGTAGTTACTTGTAAAAATAATCTATATTTATATAATAATATTAAATTGTCATCTTGGTGGCTCGCTGGGTAAGGCTTGTGCACTCCAAAAGGAAGTCTCAAGTTCAAATCTTGTGGGTTTCAATCGATCTATGACCAACATAAATGTACGATATAGTTGTAAAATGGAGTGTTTAGTATCATTATCAAAAACGGACCCTCTCCCCGAAACCTTACAAAATCAGGGGGGTCACAATAATATAATGTGTATATAATAAATAATAAAATCAACGTCAGCAGCCACGTTGCATGCCACGTGACTGGTGAACTACTATTACCGGTAACGTAATAGTATTTTTTGAACAAATGTGAAGTTTAATGGTCATACGTGTACAAACATTATAGTTTGTTGGCGATATGTGTACAAAAAAGTTCAATAGTAAGTCATTTTCCCATTTGGGTTTTATCAAACTATGCATTTTACATATAGCCTATTACAAATGATCTTTGTGCTTTGTTTGAAATTTGTAGTGTATATCTTTTTTTTTTGGATGATTCTACACTTAAAGTCATTGTGATTTCATTATCTTTAGTTGTGTGCCTCTTACGAATATCATAAGAGAAAAAAACGTTAACCCTTTATAAACCGACCATTTTACCTTTTTTTGGTCTTTTTGTTATTTTGACTTATTATATTTATTATTCTCTGGTTCATCTATTCTTCTCATTTTTCTTATATCTCATCTTTCTTTCTCAACAATGGTGGAATCGAGTTCTGTACCCCCCCCCCCCCCCTTTAACAAGCCTTATGGTATCACGTACATTAAGGCTTACATTTCGTTCACTAATGATCTAGAACGTATGAATTATGATGCATGACGTGAAGTTTTTGAAACTGACTATGTTGCATTTGGAGTGATAGATCATCTTAGTTCGTCAGACGATAAAGTTGTCACCGCCATCGACAAGAAGGAATGAGATCGCCTTGATGCCCTCGCCAAGATGTGGATTTTTGACAATATCACTCCTACTTTTACTTAGACGATTCACAAAAGAAACCAGTTCACGTGTGATTTGTAGGTCGCATTAGAAACTTTATTTCGCGGTAATAAGGATGCAAGAGCTATGCAACTTAACTAAGAGTTACGTAACATCTTTCAATGTGATGCCACAATTAATGCCTACTACACTAGAATCAAGAATCTTGCAGATTTACTCGAAAATATTGAAGCTCATGTTCCTAAAAATAATATTGTAAGTTACACCATCAATGGTCTCAACCCTCCATTTGATAATGTTGCAAGTATTCTACGTTACCGTACCCCGTTTCCTACTCTTTTGGAAACTCATTACATCCTTGCATCTAAAGAAAAAATAATGAATCATTGCAAAACATATTTGTTCCGAGTACGCATCTCGATCACTCATATTCTCCTACTACACTCCCTACAGATTATTCCAATGCTAATCAAAATTCTCATAATTTTCATGGCAACAATAATAATTATCGTGGTGGACGTAACGGAGGTTGCAATAACTATCGTGGAAGATCCAACAATCGAGGAGGTTGTGGAAAAAATTTTACTTCTCAAAGATAGCAACCACATGCACCATACAGACGGGTTTTAGGTGGTATCCCTTACAGGCGGTGTCTCCATAGTAACAGGGACCAATAACACCATCAGTGTCGGTGGGCCTTCCACCTCTTTTCCACCTAACCTGTCCCCTTCCTCGGCTCATGTTGATATGCGATCAACTCCTTCAATAGCTCACCAAGCGGCGTTCAGTGTGACCCATCAACATCCATTCTTGCTACCTTGGTCATGGTTTTTGGGCTCAACTTCGGATCAAGCTACGTCGCTACCTCAAATGTTCAATATGAGGAACATGAATGATCCAAGCAATACTTCTTGGTACATGGACTCGGGTGCTACCTTTCATTTACACTCTAATAATGGTCTACTTAATTTTATCAGTTACAAAAACATTCCATCCTCATGTGTATTTTTCGGTGATGGTTCTAAAATGCCAATTCAGAAAATCGGTCGTTCCATTATTCCTCAATCAAACCCATATTTTACTCTCACCCTCATAACCATTCTCATTACTGCATTTGTTATTAAAATTTTAATTTTCGTTCGTCCTTTTACCCATGACAACAAGTGTAGCATTGAATTTGACGCTTTTGGTTTTTCTGTAGAGGAATATCACACCAAAGAAACGTTCCTTAGATGTGAAAGCAAGGGTTACATCTATCTCATTACCACCACTCTTCCACAAGCCCTCACCACCATTACTCCCTCATCTTGGCACTAATAGGCCACCCAGGACATCACATTTTTAAAATTTTAGTGTCAAATAATGTTATCTTTATTTCTAGTTTGAACCATAAAGAGGCTAGTTTATTTTTCTGGATGATTTTAGCCATTTCTTATGGGTTTATTCTTTATGTACAAAATCTGAGGCGTTCTCTAAGTTCTTACATTTTCGTTCATAAGCTAAAATTCAATTCAAGAGTGATATCTAATCCTTTTCAATGTGAAAATGGCAATGAATATAAAAATCTTCAATTTAAGTGTAGAGTCGAAAGTTGTAGTAAGTCGTCGAAAGCTATGTCTTTAGGTTTCGTGTCTATAAATAACAAAAGTTAAGTACTTTCATTATCATATTTATTGTAACACCCCGTTTATTTATTAGATAAATAAATAAATTAATGATCGAGTTGTAGCCCTAAAATCAATAAATATATATATAGCGAGGTGTGATTTCGAGGAGCTAATTGTCATAATTTTTAAAGTTGGGGGTTAAAAGTGTAAGTTCTAGATTTAATTTGAGAAAGGTTTCAAAATTCAGGGTGCGTTTGGTAATTAATGGATTTAAATTGAAAATATTTGAAGGTTTAGGGGGCTGATTTGTAATTTAAGGACTTATTATGAAAGAAATTTATGGATTCAGGGTTTAAATGGTAAATATTGGCCTTGCTTTGAAAGAAAATATGAAGGGAGGGACTATTTGTGGCATTATGGAAAAATGCTTAAGGGCGTCAGGTATTTAGGGAACAAACCCTAACCCTAATCGACCATTTTTGCAGCCGTATCTCTCCACCCTTGCGTCTTCATCGCCGGCGATGCCGCCATGCCCGATTCCGACTAGTTGCGGCCTCAAGCGGCCACCCGACCTTCTTCATCTCCAACCTATTGGAGCTTCGGTTATCCATCGCCATCAGTCGACGACTATGTCGTCTTGTGTGCCGCCACTCGGCGTTGTCGCGGTTCTCTTTGCCGGTTACGACAAAGACCGCAGCGCGTGTTCGTTCCTCCGTCGCAACCTCCCTTCCTCCTGTCTCAGCGCCGTTTCCTTAGTGCTACGCCCCAAGCCACCGGTCGCCGCTGCTTCGCTATTCTCATGCACTTCTCCAGCCGCCACTGTTTCATCGCCATCCGACCATCGTGACCACCGCCGCCCGTAGGACTTGTTCTTGCTGCTCCGGTCAACATCCACTACCCCGGAGGGCTGTTGCGTTCGTATGTGTGAGATTATTTCGAGTATGAGTCGTGAAGACCCACCATGGTAGCCGGTCATGGTGGCTGCCGCCACCTGCCGCCGTCGGCCACTAGGTTGTTGTGTATAGGTGGTTGTATTAGTG